TTTTACGCTTACAACATTTTCAAATGTATGACTTGCTGATGTCAAGCTCACGACTTGATTGTCTCATAGATTTTGAAGATCTTTCGCTATAACTTTCTAGTATTTACTCTTACCTAATAGAGCTCATATATATTCTTAGTTTCAAAACGTTATCTAGTTAGTTTCATACGTTTCAAACTTATTTTCTGTCCAATTAATTGTAGGTAGATCTGTTTAACTCTTCTTATGATATTGTCTTCGTACTTCTGCTGCATTCTTATCCACCCTATATTTTTTTGAAATCAACTTTCTTTATTCAAAATTTAATATCGGTCCACTTATTATTTTCAATTTATCACTTGCTGAGCAAATAATAATTACAATATTATGACCCGTTTAATAGTGCATACGTTTTTTTGGTATACCCTATATATATTTGTAAACGCTAAAAGGACACTCACATTACATATAGTTTTCGTAAGCGACACATCGAGTTTGCAAGGTTAATTTTTGTGGCTCAATAACTTCTTGCATGCAAAAGTTATACTTTGGTCACAACATTTAAAACAACTTATCTCATAATATACGAGAATATACAGAGAAATTCATGGAAGGCTTCGAAAAGTCGACAAATAGCGAGGGCAGACCGATAGCCATACAAATGGCTAATACATTGTGTCCCAGTCGTATGCCCTAAATAAGCTTAACGCTTGTGATTAATCACTTCGCTAATAGCTTTGAGACGACTGATACGATACCCCAGATGGTAGTATGACTAATTCACTATCGTTTGTCACACGAATTCCGCTACGAAACTAAATTAACGCAAATAATTATGTTACCTACTAAGATCCAATAGATTGATCATATTCTATAACAATGCCATGATTGAAATTAATAGTTAATACAGTGTGGAAGTTTTTGTAACATTTGGATTGAGGTGGCGCGGCACACCACTGCACCTTCTTATGACTTACAGAGATCACGACTACAAGTCTACGCGTAGTATTTCCCGAGGCCGGTCCTCCAGTAATAACAGATTTCTATCGAGCTATTGACATATCTCTATTGACTAACCGCTATCAGTAGTATACTGTCCGAAGTGTCGATGCAAGACACATACCCAGAAGACTGTTATTTAATATCTAACAGCACTGAATATCTTTGTGTGGCACATTCGCCGAAAATGCTATTGTTACCTCAGATTAGTAATAAGTAGTTTGTGATGGAGCGCATTATAGTTGAAAGAAAGGCAACCGTGCGAAAGATCCTCCAAGCTATCAAGAACATGGAAATCAACAAGGCAGAACATCTGAAATGACTACCTCAAAGGCGCTCTTGTTCCGATCTTAAGCAGAACTGCACCCTTTAAAGGTGCCTACGTGTTGGTCCTGTGTCCCTACACTGAAAAGGTGCTTTTCGATTGATGATTTCCCAAAGCCAAAAGAAGGCAACCATATGTTACACTCGTCGTGGAGTGAAATCCACAAAAGTATTGCTAAAAGTTGTTCAACATTTTTCCGAAATTAATATACTTTCCGTCTTTTCAGAAAGCAAGAAAGGTATGCTAAGAAAACGATAGGGATCTTTACCAAGTAATTGACTCCTTCCTAAGGCATGCTCAGGATCATTATCTCATGCCAAAAAATCGACTACTTCATTTTTTTCTGATATCCCACTGCCCCCCAAAAATTTGAGATTTCGCTTTAGAGCGTAGGCAATCGACGTCCTCTCTGAATGTTTTAGAAAGTGGGAGCAAAAGTTCGGTTAATTGCTAGGTTTTAAAAAGAGTGATGCCTTCACCTCAACAAATACGCACTCAATTTTTGTAGAGTTTCCTTGATCCATTCCGGCCTCAACTCAACTACTAATAAATGTTGTTGTTACCTGTTACGATTCTTATAAAGGAATCCCATTGGATCTACTGTGGATCTGATATATATTTTTCTTTATTAACTCCGATTCATGTTGCCTGGGACGCCTTGCTAACGCCCCAAGGAGCCAGTACTTCCATGCCAACGGATGCCTCCGTTCTAGCCTCTAACCCACACTTTAACCCCTACCGAAACCGTATTTTGCTGATACCGAAGAGTTCAACTCAGCAAAAACGAGCAACATGACGGTAAAAATGAAGCCACTGATGGGTGCACTGTCTGTTACACAGTGAATACGTATTGGGTTGCACGTAGGATGGTAGCTCTGTAGGTAACGGATATGCAATGGCGAGACTGTCATAATGCTTTTTTGTGGCACAGAGTAACCTAGGTTCGAGTCCTGACATAGACACAGTTTATTTTGCACTGACAGCTAGTCGTTCGATATAATGCTCTATCGCAGTGCTGCACATAAAATTCGAAACATTTAGGTTAGATACAAGACAGTGTTGAATACTATATAAAAAAAAAACATAATGATTTGCCATAAATAGAAAACCCGCTGGAAACGGACATTTCTGACTACGGTATATGACATGTAATGTTTTGTTTACCTAATTGAGAACTTACATACAACAATAGGATGAAATCGCTTTGCGCTTCTTGTTTAAACCGAAGTCACCTTGACAGTAATGATAATCTGGTAAATTATTTAATGTCAGCTGTTGTTCCGATCATTATAAATACGTGCTTTTCTTATACGTTTACCATTTATACCCTTCAGCGGCTAGTTCCACCACTGCAATGGTAAGCTGCCACCTGATAGTCGGACAAGCAAATCAGCTTCCGCTTACGGTGTTTTAACTACGCTTTGTTTCAATATATGGACGTGTAGTATGAAATACACGGAGCCGATTTCGAGATTTTTTAAGTAAAAGCTTGAATAGAATAGGATAAAGACCATCCAAGAGAAACGCGGTGAGCCGTGCTGGTGGTTGCGCTTCGCAACGATTTTGCCGTTGGAGGATGACATCCGCTGTTTCTTGGCATTTGTACCAGTTGAAGGGCATCATAGAGGCTGGTCACTAGCCACGAAACTAAACTAAAACGTTTATTTAATTTAAAAAAAAAGTGACAATTATTTTGAATAAAAAAAAATTAATTAGGCAGATATAAATAGAAATAAATGCGGTACAGGTTTTGACATCCCCTTTGGAGGTCACTCAAAGATTTTGTTACGGCAGGCGGTATTTCGATTTCGCCTTCAAAATCGCAATTGAACACACACAACCATGCTAGAATTGACACTTAATTGAAACTCAAATATCTGAATTTTCTCGTTTATGTAAAGGAAAACTCCTTTGAAGGGTTACTGCGCATCGATATCTGGTTGAGATATTTACAGGGAGTTTGTTCCTTCCTAAACCGATGGTCTAACCGGTACTAAGAAATAAAAAAAAACTGCTTATTTCTGTTTTTAACGCCAGTTGAATATGTACTATAGTTGCCATAGCTGTTGCTACTAGATAGGCTGTTGATACGTGCTACATTCGGCACTCAATTTGTCTGAAGTTTTTAGCAAGGTGCCATCGAGAAATATAAAAATCTCTTGATTGCACATTTCTACAAAAAGCACTACGTGCTCGACCTACAAAATCATTGGCTGAACATTTATTTTTGAGGGAGTCGAGCAGAAAAAGGGCTAAAAGCCTGAAATTCGAATAATGAATGTAAATAATTTCCATTTATCTATCTTGTGGTATTTCAGACAGTCCGTATCGGCAACACGGCTACTGTCACCAGCAATGTACGCTATAATTCTAAAATCCTTTAACATATTTTCCATAACCAAGCTAAAACTGATTGGCTAAACCATGCACCTTTATCCGTGGACAAACTAAAACCACGGAAAGACCCATAAGAAGCTCATCTACGCGGAGAGCGAAGACACTTGACACCAAACTCAAAATAATGTCTTCCTTTGTATTAAAAGGTGTTTTTGAGCTGACTTGACGTTCTGGGTTGAACTAAGAATATGCGCTCCTCGATTTTTCAAATCGTGAAATTAGTGAAAGAGAATAGTCAGACTTACCCAATTGAGATGTACTTGTCAGTCATATTCAATAAGTAAGCAAAATGAGAAACGTTTCGAACACAAGTTTTCGTGGCAGATTACATCTAAATAATTTTTATTTTAGTCAGCTTGACCAGAAGAGCTTCCTTGATATCTATACAGATTTATATGCTAGTAGTTTAGTTACCGACTTACAATCGGAGCACACTGAAGTTTATGTGATTAAGCATAAGTACGAACTTGGCTACCTACAGCCAAGTAGTGTGACAAATAAAAACAATTCTTCCTATAGTTGTTCATGCTGAACTCAAAAAAAGTATCCGTTCTTCCTAACGTAGTTTCTTTCGAAACTTTCGACACCAACCTCCCCCCGTAGATTTTTGAATATGATAAGTATGTTGCATTTAAAGATTATGTTTCAGTACAGGAAAAGGCGATCCCACATAGTGGGAACCTTGTGGCGACACATTTGTATACTGCAAATTATACAGCTCAACATCTGTTAAATCAGTGCCTTATTGACTCTGAACTACGTCTCGCCATTCCTAAATGCTTATCATACAACTGGTACATAAAAATGTTTCTAACTCTCACAGAGTTTTTATTATTTTTGAACTTAGCCTAACTGGACCCATATAGAAGACGCACAACCTGAGGTGGAACGAGATATGAAGTGAAAGAACAAACAATGAAACTGCCAAGCGGGAAGCAAAACACACATTACACACAGTGTTAGTACATTGATTGCTTCTCTCTTTAGGTCCAGCTAACTGTAAATTGAATTCTACAATTTACAGTTAGCTGGAGCTAAAGAGGAAGCTATGCTTCTATTTCTGTTCCATTGCAATAGAAAATGCATACGCGAAAAATGGTGTCATCGGAAATCCTGCGAAAAATTTGTCATCGAAGTTCATTTTCATTGCTAAGAGGAAATTCTAATACT